TTCTGTTGGCTTCATTTAGTGCATGCTCCTGTCCATAAGAATATATAAGACCAAAAAATTAAAATAAAATAAAATTTAAATTGTTATCAATAATTCGATAGTGTATCAATTTCGGATTTGTTTTAATGTTCAAGAATTACCGTACCTTTCCTTGAAGCTCTGTGAGAGTATCCAGCATAGCTTGTGTCTGAAAATTGGATTATTAGAATTAATTAGCAAAAATTTTGTCTCAAGAACTTCGTTTTAATTCAATGTAGTTGCGAACGATTGTTTCAAGAATTCAATGCTCGAAACTGAATGATTTTTGTTGAAAAATGTGCAACCATTCGATTAGAAAGACCTTTCGACTGATAGATAAAGTACGTACTCTTGTTGATCTGATCTGCTTAAGCGACATATCGAGTTGCCTTTCTAATGATTCAAGTTCCTTGCTATTCAATGGACCAAGATCCTCACCGAGAAGGTTCCTGGTGGTGGCCAATAAAAAAATTGTTTACATTAAAACTTACTGATTCACTTATAAGTAACTTTTTCAGCATGTTTTCTTCAATCATATTGTAAATTAGATTGTGAATATAATTCCTATATAAAGACTGACAAACCTTTGTGAACGCTGTAGAGCATCATAACTTGCTTTTAGCTTCACATATTCCTGCTGACTGCTTAGTTCCTACATATCACCGCAGAATGTAGCAAGTTTTCATATGAAACTTCCTCAACTGCATGTGTTCTGATACCATGTTGAACTCTTATTGAAAGGAGAAGTTAAAATAATTTTTATATCTTCCCTTTCTATGAATTAAAGGGTAAGACTTGTTTGTAAAGTTACGAATAACTATAAAAGGTAAAAACTAGTACTAACTACAAAATCGCACAATCGTGGAAGTAATCACCTACAATTCAAGAAAAATAACAGAGAATCACATAAATATTTTCAGGTCTTTAGAGGATGTAAGTCCACCTTTATTATTTTTCATTAAACGCAAAAGCTTGACGCATAGTATAATATTTGTAAATATTAAATTTTGACGAGACTTGAATTTAAGATATTTAGATATGTTAAATCCATGTTGGGAAAATAATTGAATTTAGCTGAAATATAATCATTGACAGGAATAACATAGCAACACGTGTCAGGATTTTGATGAAAAATGGATCCATGATGCAATTAAATAAATAAATGCCTTCACTATTGAAGCCTTTGGTGGAAAACAAAGGGACTCGTTGAAAACAATGTAATCGTCGATAGCAACGAATTTCATGGAAAATGTCACATTCGAGAAAAACGAATATCACTTTGATTGCAACATGGAAATGGAAATCGAATTCCAACATACAACTACTTTAAGCTGTATTTTCTTTGTTTTAATGAAAAATGAAATCTTATGGGTTTGATGAGTTTTTATTTTCCAATTAATATGGAATTGGAATTCTTTTCCACCTTTGCAACAGACCCTAAATGAAGATTTGTATAACAATTTAAATTTTAGACCGAAATATTTAACACTAACATTACACCTTTCTCTTTTTTCTTCAACAAGTGAACACCTAACTGTTTCCGTCACACACAGTATTATCACCATGCTGATGCCTAAACAATTTAAAATTTTCTAGAATTATATACAGTGATTAGCTATCTTTTTAAACAAGGAGTTAAATAGTTCATTACATTATAAAATTAATGTTTTAGCATTATATTTTAATGTTGGTAAGTATATAGAAGGCAAGGAATAAGTTTGGCTTGAATTATAGCATGTCTGCTGAAAGTTATTAGGTATTATTTGCTTATTTCCACTATTATATGATACAAAAGTATAAACCTAGTGAATGTGAAACCTAGAATATAGTGTCTTGTTTGGTTTACGTTTAGTTTTCAGTTTTGAATTTATTTTCAATTTTCTGTTGGTGGGTCTGTTTTAAGATGCAAAAAATATGTTTGATTTATCACTTTGAAAAACTGTTTTTCAAAATAGAAATCTGGAAAATACATTTTGGTTTTGAAATTTTTAGAAATTGTTTTGTGACTTTTAATAGAAAAATTTTGTGTTAATATATTATCAAGTAATATATACATTTTGATGCATGACAAAAATGTGAATAAGAATAAAAAGGATCTTTTTTGTAATAAACTAATGGGTGTTGCTAGAATGTCGTTTGAACGGACGTGAGAAATACTGAAATCCACCGGAGAACGAAAAAAGTTGATATATTATTATTTAAAAAAGGTTGCACTACCACTTTTACACCCTTAATACATATTTAAAGAGTCAAAGTGCAACTTTAATTTGGTAGACAAATTTGAATAGAGCTAAAAAAACTGTAAAAATGACGAAAATGTTCTTAAATTGACTCAAAACACCAAAATGTTCAAACTGATCCTTTAAACTAAATCTTGTACTAAATCTGCTTAGTATAAGTACTTTTCCATTACTTAATGGTTTTTCTATTTATAGTAAAGATGCCCAAATTTTTACTTTCATCTTCTTGAATCTTGTTTTGCTTGGGAATTCAATGTTCTGATCGAACAATGGATCATTATTCATCACAAATTTACCATCATTAAATTTGTCTTGTACTAAATCTTCTTAGTTAACTATGAGTACTTTTCCATCGAAATAATTGTATATTCAATATTCTGTTCCTATTGTAGTTTAAATGATTATTTACGATGTTTTAATCTTGACAATATGTATTTCTTTCTCAGTTCTTTAATTTCCATTAAACTTGTGCTGCCATACGATTTTCATCTTCAGATTACAATGGAAGAAGAGATGTCGAGCATGATTTCTCCAGAAAAAATAAGAAGAAGAAGATTTAGGAAATGGAAGAGTTGATGAAGTGCAGCTTCAGTTTTACGATAGGCAGTTATGGAAATTTCGATATTGCTATTGAAAGAGTAGCCAAAGTTATGCACAAGAGTCTGGAATTGATTTGTGAGAGAGAGAGAATTTAGGGCTAATTATATTATAGCTTTCTACATGTATATGAGTAGAGAATGAGACAAACAATTTGTGTAATTGATCTGGCCAACAAAGGGAACTTGAGAAATGGCTTAACAACTTGAGCCGGACCTTCTTTTCGCACTGAAAATAATGATCAAAATCGAATTAAATTGTCAAATGCCCCTATCGAAAATATGATTGACTAGCAATTCCAAAGGAACTAGAGTTACATCTTCCATTCAAGAGTTTTTATGTGTTTCCACACCCATCTTCGATATAGTTGATGAGCTTAGTTTCATCGTATAAGAGAGGGGCTTAGAGCCATTTCCTATACACCAGAGAGACCGGGCAAGTGTATCCATGGATTTCATTGCAAGCTTGCCGGGAGGATGGACCACCTAGTAAAGGTTGTACCAGACATGAGTTCCCTTATGGTTTGTGAAATTTATTGGACCTAACAGTTTGTTTTGATATCTGGTAAGAATAACAAAAATCGAAGTCCAGGTTGGTTGGTAAGCCTAATGATAGGAAACTATCTAGCTTGGATATGAGAGCACTTGTTGGATTAAAGATTTGATGCAGGGATGGCAGATCTTCGTCCTTAATTTGGGAAAAAATGCGATTCACGTGTTAAACAAAGAAGAGAAAGAAGAATTTGAGGATCAAATGGAGTTTGTGGCAATAAATTCATCACCTAGCAGCACTGAGACGAAAAGTAGCAAACTCTTTGAAGTCTCTTTTAACTTGAGATCTTCCCATTTGAACTAATTTTAATATTTTCAGTTCTCATTTTGTTACTTGATGTAACTCATATATACGAGTACATGTGAATTCAATTTATTATGCTTCTTTCTATTTAACGTTTTTGCATCATTCAATCTCATTTGTTTGTTCGACACTGCGTACAAAAACTTAATGCAAGTGAAAATTTTAAGAAAGTAACTGATTACCAGTGCCTCTCTTGAGGATACACGTGGCTCTGGTGCTCCATAGTTGCACTTTTCATACCTCTCCAATGTTCTGAGCATGCTGCATAGAACAATAAAACATATACATATAATCATTCCATAGAATATAAATTAAGGGAAGATTTGAGTGTAAATCATTAAAACGCATCAAAGGATGAAATCGAGACGCCAAGATGAGATGCCAAGGGGGAGATGAAGACCATCGTACACTGCTGGCGAGAATTCAGGAAAAGCCCAGAAAGAAATTGAGTGATTTGACTAAAATAAAAGCCTCGATGAAAATTACTTAGTTTTAGATTTAAGATTCTAAACATGTTTGTATCGGGAAGAGATATTGATGTTGAATTGTTCGTTGGATCTTTAATTTGCTTTAGCAAAAGCTAATAAATTTCAAGTTTAAGGTAGATCATCAAGCGTCTCGTAAAGTCACGCATTCTCACGGGCTGCGAATCCCATCTACGAAGAAGCCCTAATCTGTGTAATCATTGCTTAAACAATTTCTATAAGTAATTATGCATCTATTTATAAGTATTCATAGCTTTCAATGTCAGTAACATGTAAAGCTAACCAAGAGATGAACTCAAAGACTTTTCTGGTAACTGGATGCAAGACTGCTTTTGAGTTTGAGTAAACAACACTCAAAAACACAAAATGAATTTTCAGATTTGAGCTAATCAATGGACATATAAAGGGATCTAAGAGGAAGAAAAAGGAGAGAAAATAATTGATTTTAAAGCAAGATCTCCAGTTCCCAAACCAAACCCTAATTACATGAAAAACAAATCATAGAGCATGTAAAGATAGATATATACTAAGGCCTGATTAAAACTTCAATGGAAGTGTAATTAAGAAAAGAATTATAGAGCAAATAAAGAGAGAAAATGATATTTTCTTCATAAAGAAAAAAAGGTATAATTGAAAACCCTAGAAGTTGAAATCTTTAGGCAAAACATAACCAATTCTCTCTAGATGATACATCAAACTGGTTGAATGAAAATCAGTGAAACAATAACAAGATCAGATTCAAATCAACTCTTTTGTAGGTTAACAACTAAAACAAGAAAATAATTTTAAAGAAGTGAAAAATAAAACTTGAAAATTAGGTAGATCAACACATGAATGAACTATCAAAACATAAGATCTGATCAAAATCGGTGAAAAATGCAAACCCAAAAAAATCTGATATTTAAACATGTCAAAGGAGAAAAGGGCTTAAAGTAAGAAAAACTCAACATAATTATAGAAAAATCTTCTTTTATTGATTTTCCTCTTGCAGATCTAACAAAACCCACAAGCACAGAGCCCAAAACATTCACTAAAATGGCAAAAACTCTTCCAACATCAAAAGAGATAAGTTTCTTTTCTCTCTTTACATCAAAAAATTCAAATTTAGTCTACACACGAAAAACATAGAAGCTCCTAAACAAATTCAAACCCCAGGAAAAAAAAAGGCTTCTATGTGATATAAATAGATACCTAGAGCTGCTGCAAAATTCGTACAGTTTTCCTCTATTGGAGAAGATGATCAGAGCTACTTCAGCATCACAAAGAACAGAAAGTTCATAAGCTTTTTTCAATAAACCATTCCTTCTCTTGGCAAAGGTGACTTGCCTATTGATTTTGTTTTCGATCCTCTTCAGTTCTACTCTCCCTCTTCCCATTATCTCTCTCTCTCTCTCTCTCTCTCTCTCTCTCTCTACCACTCAAAAATCTCACAGAACACAAATCTTATCGGTGTATTTCTTGTACCACTCCCTTTAAATGTACTTATAAAGATAGATGCATGTTGTCATGTATGCAGAAGGAATGCTAGTGGTAGCATATGCTAGCATCCCATAAATTCATTTGAAAAACTCTTTTACTTATTATTTGTAGTGCTCAAAGGTTATTTTTCATAAAAAAAATGTTTTTGTGAGTAAAAAAGAGTAACTTTGAAAATTATAGTTTAAGCATTTTTTTGGTTTGGCTAAAAAAATTGATCTATGTCAAAGTCAACAATTAATTTTAATCACACATTTTATGGACCTACAATTTTTGTCAACTATTCAACCTCATACTTCATCCAATTTTATCAAAATTTACTTAAATCTGATTTTTAACAAAATAAAACAAGGACTAAGGAAATTATAAGAAACTTAAAATGTAAGTTCAAAAGAGGGTTCGAGTTTGTGGGCCATTTGGCTTTTCACCGAGAAATTTGATCAAACGGTGTATACGAGACGATGATGAACACAAGAGGGTTATAATTAAAAAAACCTAATGTTCTAAAATTTGGTCTTGGAAGAAGTCAAAAGTCAAAAATCAAATATTTACAGATCGGATCAAGAACTGATATCGAATTTCTAATTCATTGTTAGTTTTTAAGGTCAAACCGATCATTTATGACAAGGACAAAAGCAAGCAACTGGAAATGTGGGATATAGGGTATAAAGAGTGCTAAGCCTTATTACATGATGGAAATTATCAATGCTAAGTGCCACGTGTCAACAAATGAAGTAGTCCGAGGCTGAAAACGTGTTTCCGAGGATACTTAAGGGACCAATTCTTAAAGAAGCTCAACTGTGTTTGGTTACAAGGTTTTAACAAAATTGTCTCTAAACAACTTCTCTCAATAATGGAGTGGTGGATGGACCACTTTTTACCTTCTACCGTCCTTTTTGAGCTTAAAAGGAGAAAAATGTAATTGCGTATTTAAGTAGAGGTGTGAAAAATAGCATGGCATCGCCCGCCCGAGATTTTGGGGTCTTAAGTCAATTTTATGTGAGGTTCTCTACATAAATTTTATGAGTTTATATGTACTTATAAATATTAATAAAATTAATATTATCGGCCTTCTCACATATGAGGGCATAGGCTATAGCCCATGCAAAAATACTACTTGTACATCACAAATTGTACATAAGGGGCTACACCCCTCTTACATAGGGTGTGAGACCCATTGCATAAATTATTTTTTAATCTAAGCGGGTCCTACCCTCATGTGATGGGGATGTACACCCCAATGTACAATGTGAT